AGCTCTGTAGCTCATCGGCAGCTCGACTTAAGTCAAGAAAACCATCACTATCTCTGAAAAATTAGGAGGGCACGAATAGTTATTCGGGCCCTGCTCTGATAGCGGACCGAGTTCAGGCGTCTAGGTACTTTAGACTAGCGCGTCTGATGACTTTCTTCCGATTGCTGAGCCAAAGAGCTCTCCTGCTCATCTGCAGCGCGAGTCAAGTCAAGAGAACCATCATCATCTCGAAACAAATGTAGAGCACAAACAGCTTCGCGGACCCAGCTCTGGTAGCAGATCTGGTAGCTAGCAGACGAACGCGCCCGATCATTCTGGATCGATTAGGCGTGCATACCAGCTCTGTAGCGCTCCTACAGCTCGAGTTAAGCACAGAAAACCGACAGCATCTGTCAAGATGGCCCGAACAGCCGATCCCGCCCACATGCTTTTTGACAGTAATATGTACCCGATCGACCTGAGATTAAGATGGCGAGCGGGAATGAAATCGAAGATGGCGGGAAAAATGCTAGAGCTCTAACGAATGTTCAAATTTCGAGAAATCGAATTTCAACCGAGCAAAAATATGCAAAACATCCGTCGAGCTTTTTTGGCCAACTGGGAGCCGGCTGTAAACCGTCAACCTTGGTTACCGCCGGGAACTCGTAGAGCTTCCTCGTGCAATCCGGGCGCGGCAACCTCGCATTGCGCGCGAGGGCGCGGTCTCATGGAGGAGGACGTGGAGGAGAAGAAGGAGCGAGGAGAAAGCACCCCTGGAGAAATTAATAGAGTCCGAACAGTTTTCTGGTTCCAACTCTGAAAGCGCGACGAGTTCGGGCATCTGGATACTTGAAACTAGCGCGTCTGATCAATTCCTGGCGATATTGTGCCAGACAGCTCTTTGATTCCTCTGTAGCTCGAGTCACCTCAAGAAAGTTACCATCATCTTTCTAAAAGTTATCACGGTACGAATCTTTGTTCTGACCCAGCTCTGGTAGGAGACAGGCGTCTAGATACTGTGGGACTTATGTGTAAAACAGCTCTATAGCTCATCTACAGCCCGAGTTGAGTCAAGAAAGCCACCAACATCTCTAAGAAGTTGGCAGAGTACGAAAAGATTTTCGAACCCAGCTCTGATAGCAGATCGAGTTCAGGCGTCTGGATACTTTAGTCCCGCGCGCCTCATGATTTTCTTCTGATTGTTGTGCCGAACAGTTCTTCAGCTCTCCAGCTGAAGTTTAGTCAAGAACACCGTCACCATCTCTACAAAAATAACAGAGTACGAATAGTTTTCGGACCGAGATCTGATAGCAGATCGAGGTCAGCCGTCTAGATACTTTAGACTCGCGCGCCGGACGATTTCCTTCCCATTGCTGTGCCGAACAGCTCTGTAGCTCATCGGCAGCTCGACTTAAGTCAAGAAAACCATCACTATCTCTAAAATTTTAAGGGAGTACGAATAGTCCTTCGGACCGAGCTCTGATAGCAGACCGAGTTCAGGCGTCTAGGTACTTTAGAGTAACGCGTCTGATGATTTTCTTCCGATTGCTGAGCCAAAGAGCTCTCCAGCTCATCTGCAGCGCGAGTCAAGTCAAGAGAACCATCATCATCTCGAAAAAAACAAAGTACAAATAGTTTCGCGGACATAGCTCTGGTAGCAGACCAAGTTCAGACCTCTAGATGCTTGCGACGAACGCGCCTGATCATTCTGGATCGATTAGGCGTGCATACCAGCTCTGTAGCGCTCCTACAGCTCGAATTAAGCACAGAAAACCGACAGCATCTGTCAAGATGGCCCGAACAGCCGATCCCGCCCACATGCTTTTTGACAGTAATATGTACCCGATCGACCTGAGATTAAGACGGCGAGCGGGAATGAAATCGAAGATGGCGGGAAAAATACTAGAGCTCTAACGAATGTTCAAATTTCGACAAACCGAATTTAAACCGAGCAAAATTATGCAAAACATCCGTCGATATTTTTTTGCCAACTAGCCCCCCAGCGCGCCGGAACTGGGAGCCGGCGGTAAGCCGTCAACCTTGGCTACCGCCGGGAACTCGTAGAGCTTCCTCGTGCAATGCGGGCGCGGCAATCTCGCATTGCGCGCGCGAGGGCGCGGTCTCGTGGAGGAGGACGTGGCGGAGAAGAAGGAGTGAGGAGAAGGCATCTCTGGAAAATTAATAGAGCACGAATAGTTTCCTGGTTCCAACTCTGAAAGCGCGACGAGGTCGGGCATCTGGATACTTGAAACTAACGCGTCTGTAGAATTCCTTCCCATTCTGTGCCAAACAGCTCTGTAGCTCCTCTGCAGCTCGAGTTATGTCAAGAAAACCATCACCATCTCCAAAAAATTAGCAGAGTACAATAGTTCTTCGAAATCAGCTCTGATAGCAGACCGAGTTCAGCTGTCGAGATACTTTAGACTAGCGCGCCTGACGATTCCCTTCTGATTGCTGCGCCAAACAGCTCTTTAGCTCATCTGCAGCTCCAGTTTAGTCAAGAAAACCATCACCATCTCTGATAAATTAGCAGAGTACGATGAGTTGTTCAGGCCCAGCTCTGATAACAGACCGAGTTCAGGCGTCTAGATACTTTAAACTAGCGCGCTTGATAATGGTTTGTCGATTGTTGTGTGGGACAGCGCTATAGCGGATCTGCAGCTCGAGTTTGGTCAAGAAAACGACCAGCGTCTCCAAAAAAATAGTAGAGTACGAATAGCTTCGCGGACCTAGCTCTGGTAACAGACCGAGTTCAGACATCTAGATGCTTGAAATTTACGCGCCTGACGATTCTAGATCGATGAGGTGTGCCTACCAGCTCTGTAGTTATCCTACAGCTCGAGTTAAGCACAGAAAACCGACAGTACCTGTCAAGATGGCCCGAACAGCCGATCCCGCCCACATGCTTTTTGGCAATAGTAGGTACCCGATCGACCTGAGATTAAGATGGCGAGCGGGAATAAGATCGAATACGTCGGGAAAAAGTACTAGAGCTCTAACGAATGTTCAAGTTTCGAGAAATCGAATTTAAACCGAGCAAGATTACGCAAAACATCCGTCGAGATTTTTTGCCAACTGGGAGCCGGCGGTTAATCATCACCCTTGGTTACCGCCGGGAACTCGTAGAGTTTCCTCGTGCAATGCGGGCGCGGCAATTTCGCATTGCGCGCGAGGGACGCAGTCTCATGAAGGAGGACGTTGAGGAGAAGAAGGAGTGAGGAGAAAGCACCTCTGGAAAAATTAGAGTACGAATAGTTATCTGGTTCTAACTCTGAAAGCGCGACGAGTTCGGGCCTGATGCCAAATTGTCCTCGCACAAGGCGTGCAAACGGACGGGTGGCCCGGACGAGAGTCATGGACCCGACCCGCGTCACCTGCACTCATTGGGAGAGGTCGGTGGAGAAAGTCTCATGTTTATCCTCTGCCCCCTCATCCTGCTCTGTCCCTCCCTTCCTCCACCCTCCCCCTCCTCATATGTCCGCCCCTTCCCCCGAGGCCACGGAGCACCAAAAGAGCTCCTAAAAACCCTCTGAGCCCAACCTCCTCCTCCTCCTCCTCACCATCATCATCATCATCATCATCATCATCATCATCATCATCATCATCATCATCATCATCATCATCATCATCATCATCATCTTCATCTTCATCATCATCATCATCATCACCACCACAGGTCATCATCATCAGCAACATCGTAATCATCAGCAGAAGCCGCAACAGCGTCAGCATGAGCATCAGAATCGCCATCACCAACATCAACCTCATCATCCTCCTCGTCGTCATCATCATCGGCATCGTCATCACCATCCTCATCGCTATCATCAGCATCGTCATCGACGACACCGTCATCATGGCCATGACGATCATCCTCATCATGTGAATCAGCATCATCAGCATCGTCGTCATCATCAGCATCGCCATCAAATCGCCATAATCATACACAGCCTCAACATCATGAGCGGCATCAGCATCATCATCGGCATCATGAGCATCATCATCATCAGCAGCAGCAGCGCCATCATCATCATCATCATCATAATCAGCCCCATCGTCATCATTCACCATCACCATTATCATCATCATCATCATCATCAGCAGCATCATCAGAATCATCATCAGTAGCATCAGCATCATCATCATCGTCGTCGGCATCGTCGTCACTACCATCATAACCATCATAACCATCATCGACAACACCGTCATCATGGCCATGACTAGCATGCTCATCATGTGAATCAGCATCATAAGCATCGTCGTCAGCATCAGCACCAGCAAATCGCCATAATAATACACATCATCAACAGCATGAGCGGCATCAGCATCATCCTCAGCATCAGCATCAGCATCGACAGCATCATCATCAACCTGATCATCAGCAGCATCAGCATCATCATCATCAGCAGCATCAGCATAGTCGTCGTCATCAGCATCGTCAGCATCAGCACCATCCTAATCAGCATCAACATCATCACCATCATCAGCATCATCAGCATCATCATCAGCATCGTCGTCGTCGCCATCAGCATCATCATCAACATCATCATCATCATCAGCATCATATATCATCATCATTATAATCATCGTCATCATTATCATCCTCATCATCATCATCCATCATCATTGGCAGTATCATCAGCAACAGCAGCATCATGATCATCATTACCATCGTCATCATCAGCAGCAGTATAATCATGAGTGTCAGTACCAGCCGCATCAGCATCAGCATCAGCATGATCACCATCATCGTCATCATCACCACCACCATGATCATCATCTTTATCATCATCAGCAGCATCATCATCATCACAATCATCATCAGCAGCAGCAGCATCATCACAATCCTAAACATCATCATCAGCAGCAGCATAATCACCATCATCAGCATCGTTGCCGTCATCATCATCGTCGTCATCATCATCATCATTATCAGCATCAGCATCAGCATCAGCATCAGCATCAGCATCATCACCACCACCACCATCATCGCCGCTGTCAACAAAAGGAGCATCTGCAGCCTCATCGTCATCCTCATCCTTCGCATGTTGGTTCCGTCTGCCACTCAAGAGGGGCAGAGAGAATGAGATCTCGCTGCCCCACGTGGCTCACGGCTGCCGCCAGCTGGGGGCGGGCGCGCGCCCACGGCTCACGCGGCGGCGCCCGAGGGCGGGCGCGCACGCGACCGCGCTGCCTCTGCGGGGGGGAGGGGGACGGCATCCACCGGAGGGGGAGGGAGGAGGAGGAGGAGGAGGAGGAGGAGGAGGAGGAGGAGGATGAGGAGGAGGAGGAGGAGGAGGGGGAGGAGGAGGAGGAGGAGGAGGAGGAGGAGGAGGAGGAGGAGGAGGAGGAGGGGGACGTGGAGGAGGACGTGGAGGGAGAGAGGGAGGGAGGCAGAGAGGGCGGGAGGAAGAGAGAGATGGGCGGGTGGGTGGGAGGGAGGGAGGGAGGGAGAGAGGGAGGGAGGAACGGGTGGAGGGGGAGGGGAAAGGGAGGAGGGAGGGAGGGAGCGAGGGAGCGAGTGAGGGAGGGAGGACGAGAGCGCAAGAGGGAGGAAGGGAGGGAGGAAGGGAGCAAAGAGGGAGGGAGGAGGAGGGAGGTGACGAGGGGAGGCGGGAGAGAGGAGGCGGCACGATGCATCGGATTTCCCGAGATGCGCCCGCGGGCACGCCCGCGGCACGCACGGCTGTCGGGCTGGAGCCTGGCGGCGGGACAGGGGTCGCAGCGGCTCCTGCCAGGGGGGGCACGCTCGCTCGTGCCCGGGGCACGGAACACCCAAGGCCTACAGCAACAACGAGCGGCACCGTCAGTGAGGCGGATGACCACGTGGTTGACGAGCCAAGCGGCGGACCGCAACCCGAGAGGGAGGTAGCACCAACTCTCCAAGAGAGCAGGGGCGTGAGAGTGAATGAAGGGGAGGGAGGAGGGAGTGAGAGTAGAGAGACAGAGGGAGAGCAGGAGGGGCCAGAGAGAGGGAGAGGAAGGAGGAGGAGGAGGAGGAGGAAGAGGTTCACCGCCCATAGAGGGGGAAGACAGGGAAACTGGGGCAGGGGGCCCCTCAGATGAGAACGTTTTTTGTCCACGCCCGAGGCTGCGCCCCCACCTCGGGCGGGTCCAGCCGACAGAGGGCCCCCCACCCGCCGAAACTGGCCCTCGGCCTCGGGTTTTACGGCAATCGCCGCCCGTCGGGGCCTGGGCTTCGGCTCGGCCCGGGAGCACCTGCCGGTCGAGCGCCTCCGCCCCCTCACTGCCAAGGGCTCCCAACTTCGCGCTTCGCGCTGCGCGAAGCGCGAAGCGCGAATAACTTCGCGCTCCCGCGCCGCCCCCCCCAAAGGGAGAATAGGAGGACGAGGAGGAGGGGGAGAAGGAACGAGGACCGCGAAGCGCGAAGCGCGAATAACTTCGCGCCCTCGAGGGAGCCCTTGCCTCACGGGAGCTGAAACCAGAGGCGAGCAGCACGCAATCCAGCCCGAGGCGCGGGGCCACGGGCTGCTTCGAGAACGGAACGACCCTCGACGCCCCGGGAACCTCCACAGCCCCAGCAGGGGCCTTCTCGAAGTGTTTCGAGAAACGGGCCCGAGTCTCAACCGCCGGAGCCGTCGAGGGCGCAAGCGCCACGAGGGGGAAAAAGACAGGGTGGAAACCTGCCCTGAGCCTCTTCCTTACTGTGTACGCCGACCCTCCGGAGATCTTCTTCGAGCCCTTACAGGTGCCAGTGAGACCTCTCTGCATTAGGGCGGTCGCACACTGCCAGCACGATGGACACTAAAAGATGGGGTCTGAGTTAGGGACCGCACTCTGTACCACGCAATGCTGGTTGACTCGCCAGGGCTGGACGCCCTTGTCCAGCAACGACTGGGGGGCTTCTGAGGCGGGCCCAGGAAGAACCTCAGCATCAGCAGCCGCACCAGCAGAAGGCTCGAGAAGAGGAGGATCAGGACTCAGGGATTCCGCCTCAGGAACCTCTTCGTGCGACAGCCCTTGGAATTCAACAAACAAACCCCAAATCGACTGTATTGAATTAGTCTAGTCCACCGACATCTCTGGTCCTTGCATCGGCCATCGAGACCGACAGCTGGGCCGAAAACTTGGCAGCGAGCTTCGCACTATACTGGCATCCCTCGACCAGCTCAACGTCGGACTCTTGTGCTCTGGCCAGCGCAGCACCTCTTTTTGCAAACTTGTCCGCATCGTTGTGTCCAACGCTTTCAAGCTCCGAAAGCTGGTTCCGCTCTACACTGGCAGGCGTCGTGTGGGCGCTGACATGCTGGAACGGGCGAGCCACGGAATCTTGCCTTGCATGCACCTGCTCGCACAGGTGGGCTCGCGGCTTGCACAACGAGGTGGCCATGCGAGGCGACTGACAGCAGTTTAGTGTCGCACCGAAAACGTCCCCAGCACATGCTGAGAGCACATCAGCATTGCGAAATCTGCCCCATCTTAGATCGTGCACGAGATGTCGAATTCAGGGGGCAGCGCCCCGAACAAAGCTCTCCCGCATCGACGCTCGCTGTCGTACAATACGACGCTCTATACAGCTACTTTCAGGCTCGGGTGGTGCTACTCCAACCCTGATCTATCCGTGAAAACCAGTCCCCCTTCAAGGAGTCGCAGGGATCCCTTTGACCCTTGGCCGCCAGCCTCTCCACGCACTGGCCAGGCTCAGAAGACAACCCACGGGCAAACTTTTCCTTCCAAGCTGGCAGGCTGTCCCTAACTCGAGAGACCGACGAGCGGAGTCCTGACGGCATGCAATCCCTTCGGAACCCTTCCTGGTCTGGGCAGCCGAAGCAGATGTGAAGCATCGTGCCCCCCTCGCCCTGGCAGAGCTGGAAAACCTCAGTCAGGGTCGGCTCCTGGTCGTGGAGCCTTCCTTGGGTCCAGTGGGGCCCCGCCACCAGGCCACGAAGAGTATTTTGCTAGTGTCGGCCCCAGGTCGCGGACCAATCCGAAAAGAACAGCTCCAGAGAAGGTCTCCAACAAATCTCTGAAGCCCACGCACTGCTATCTTGCAAAGACAACGCTGTGATGTCAGAGGCCCGCCTCGCAGCAAACGAAATCTGAGCCGCAACGTAGGCAAGAGAATGGAAAAGCAGATCCCATTCCCCCCCCCGATCATCCACCGCCGTCGAGCCCACCCCCTCGGCCGTGATAGCCACCGCGGCCACCGGGTCCTTGCAGGTCGGGCCCTCCCTGACTGAAAGCTGCAGGGGCAACTCTTCGGCCATGCTGGCCGCAAAACTGGACGAGATGACCAAGAACCATGCCTTGGCCCAAGATACCGTCAGGCCTCTAGCCCGCACCACATTCACAACAGAATTGAAAGCAGCACCGATCTGCACAGACACCGTGGATTCGCCTCCCATCGCGTGGAAGGAGACACGTCAATGACTTTCTTTATCTTTACAATCGGCGCCTCGGCGTGGGGTGTCTTCACAATGACAGCAACCAGAACCTGCGCCAGCGACGTGGCGCAGGAGCATCCCGCAACCACAGTACTGTTGGCCTCCAGGGACCACCCCGTGACGCCCCGGAAAACCGCTCGCCGCTCCGCCCGATACATGCAGCATAAGCCCCTCAAGAGGATGCCGGGGAAGCCCACGTGGGCCGCCACAGCTCTGAGCTCAGAGTGCGAAATGTTATGTTGGAACTTCTGAAGTCTAGAAAGGCCGAGCCAGACGCCAGTCTACGCAGTCGGGCGAAAGCCGACAACGCGTTGTGAAGCCATGCACTCTTATCGCAAGACGTGGCCCTTGTCTGGCCCAAAACCAGCTCCAACGAGTTCTCCCTCTCCCAGGCGCTGCAGGTGCGCGGGCGGACATTGGACCAAACACGGGCCAGGAGCGGCAACAACCCGATTGATCCTACGCATCCCATTGGTTCGTCCAGGAAAACAATCAAGTTAACCCAAAGCTGGGAGACAAGCGGACCGCGCTCCCATGCATTGCGCACACCTACGAATCGCTGGACGACTACCGAGTGGAGCTGAAAAATGAGTCTGGGATAAAGCCCATCCCATCCGAGGGCTGTGCCCTTCGAGAAACATTTTCAGGCCGAACGCACGCCATCAACCGTGACAGGCGCAAGAAAAACAGAAACCTCCTGGTGCCCTGGGTGCTCCTCCTGGGCGGGTCCAGATGGGGACCCACTCGTCCATGAGCCTCTCGAGGGCCTCGTGGCCAACCAGCAGAACCCCGCCTTCCTCCTCAGGACCGACGAAAGGCTCAGGAGTGGGCTTGGGACCCTTACCGTAGCGTTGCGCAACACGCGCGCTCCAAGCACCGAGGACTGAGCAAGTTCCTGTCACGCCTGCCAAGCCTTGAGCGCGTCGCCAGCAATCCTGGAGGACACCTCCTGCGCAAGGGCCCCCAACAATTCCGCACATCTTTCAGGATCCCTGAGCCCTTCCAAAAGAAGAGTGGCCTGAGAAACTTCTCAGCATCTCCAACCCCGCCGAGCACAACACGGGCTGACCTGCGCCAAGACCTCCGAGAGCATACCCCAAGTAACCCCCGAAGTCCCACCTTTTTTCGGTCAGCCTGAGAATATGGGTGAAAATCCTACGGAGCTGCAGCCATTTAGCAGTGGCTGCCGTCGAACGCCTGGCTAGTTCTCTTGCCCAGGCCGCCTTCAAAGGCGTCATCTGGAACTCACACCCCTTGTCCCTTCCAGAAAGCCTCTAAAAAGAAGCCAGGACGAGGATAAAATCGGGTGAGGATAAATCGAGAATATCTGAGATCCCGCGGCTCTGGAGGATGTCTCGGGCGCCACGGCCTTCTCAGAGCGTTCTGGCACGATCTGGAACGGATTTATCCTCGTCCCATCCCCGCCCGAACTTAGCCACATCACCTGCTAAGACCTGGTGCGTCTCACAAGATCAGCCGGGGCCGCTTTAACCCACTCCTGGGCCGCCACCAACTGCTGAGCTGGCCTGAAGCTCGCTTCCCAAGACCAGACCAGGCCGGAGATAGCTGGCCATGGTACCTCACAACCTTCGGCATCCCCAGCCGGGTCCAAGGGAAAACCACACGGAGGAACACGCTGCCAAATCTGAGCAGGCCCCACAAGGCCGTCAGGAGGAGGAGGAGGAGGAGGAGGAGGAGGAAGAGGAGGAGGAAGGGGAGGAGGAAGAGGAGGAGCAGCAGGAGCAGGAGCAGGAGGAGGAGGAGGAAAAAAGTGACGGGGGAGAGAAGAGCAATGGGAAGGGGGACAAGAGAGGGAGGGAGGACGGGGGAGGGAGGGATGAGGGCAAGCAGGAGGGACTGGAGGCGGGAGACCTACTGCAGGATGCACCTCTCCTCCCTCATGGTTCATCCTTCCGCCTCCGCGCTCCCCTCTCCTTCCTGCTTCCCTGTCTCCTTCTCCTCCTCCTCCCCCATCCTCCATCCTCCCCTCTCCTCCCCCCCCCCAACTCCTCCTCCTCCTCCTCCTCCTCCTCCTCCTCCTCCTCCTCCTCCTCCTCCTCCTCCTCCTCCTCCTCCTCCTCCCCATGTGCTCGAGATTTCTTACATGTACCCCTGCAGCGGCAGAGGGTCGGGGGCCTCCCCCGCGGACCCACAAGGACTGGGTGCCGGTGAAGGGTGCCTGAGCATGTGCCTCGGTGGTACGGGGTCGGGGGCCTTCATCGCGGACCCAGGGCGCCTGCCCGCCCGTGCCAGCAGCTGAGCTGGCGGGTGCATCCATCCTTCCTTTTCCCTCCCTCGCCTGCTCTGTGCCACGCTGGGGTGGACGTCATGCAGCGAGGGTGGAATTCGGACCGCGGAGTACGAAATACTCCTCACCGTGTGTCCTCTTTCTCCTCACCCTCCTCCTGGTCCTCCTCGTGTGCCTCCACCGGCGGCTGCGGCCTGGAGGGAAAGGAAGATGGTCCACAAGAAGGAGCAGAGGTTCAAGAACGGAGGGATGAAGTGCTCAGAGAGCACAGCGAAGGCGATCAGGTCCTGCGCTCTGCCCTCCCCGCGCCCTGCGGCAGCCCCCATCGAAGGCCCAAGAGCGGCGTCAGAGGGGAACCAAGGGGGGGGCGCTCAGCACGCGTCCGAGAAGCACGCCCGATGATGTCCGGTGACTGAACGGGGTGAGGGCCGACGGCAACTGCAACAGCCAAAGTGGTGACGGGCTGCCCCGCCCTGATCGCGTACAATCAAGAACAGGCAGCGTCCACTCCCGGACGCGAGACCTGCAGGGGTCACACTCACTGATTGAATCATCCCATGGCACGTCCAGCAACATTCTAAGATACTGGAATTGGGATGAGGTCGTTCTCCAGCTCGTTCATACCAGAATATGCTCCTAGTCCTGGTTGCATGTTACAATGTGCGGTCAACTAATCATTTGCGGCCCAATGTATTGCGTTTCTCTCACTCACTCACTCATTCACTCACTCACTCACTCACTCACTCACTCACTCACTCACACACACACACACACACGCAGACACTCTCACTGTCCAAAGAGGGCCAGCGCGGGTGCGGAATCGGATATAACCAGCAGCGTGGGTCACGCTCGACATCTCAAACGGAAAAGGCGATAGGACAGTCCGCGCTCCAGCGAAGAGGCGCCGAGCCCGAAACCACGAGAGGGGGCAAAGCAGAGGCCACCAACGACAGCGAAAGAGAAGACGCCGGCGGCAGTGCACCGAGGGCTAAAACGGCGGCGGCGGCGAGAACCAACACACACACACACACACACAGACACACACACGTTTGGCGTCGCGGCCGCGCGCGCAGCGACGCGGCGAAGTAAGGCAGTGTCAGGGCTAGAACACGCCAGGCCCTCACGCAGCCACCAGGCAGGGTGGCGCAGGGTTCACCCGTATTGGACCTCGATGCGAGAAACTCACGGCGGGGCAGCCGTGAGAGGAGACTCGCGAGAACGGACGGACTAAACAGCAGGTCTGCAGGAGGATACAGCAGCGGCGCGGCCACAGCCGAGCAAGTGTGGGGCGCAGCAAGAGAGAAGAAGGCAAGGAAGCGGGGGTGAAGGCACACCCAATGGCGGTGCAGACAGGGCAGCAAGGCGGCGGAAGGCAGGCGGGGCCACGGCGAGGGGGGAGACGGACGAGGAGGACACTCGATGGGGCATGCCACACGTCTGGGCAGAGAGAGGAAGCTACAGGTCAGGGAGCCCCAGACGCTACTCACGAGTGGTGGCGGCGGCGCGCAGCAGGCGAGGCGGAGCAAGAGCCATCGAGGTGGTCAACCGAACCGAGGAAGTCCGGGAGAGAGCCGTCAGAGAGATGTGTTTTGGTTGGGGGGGGGGGGCAGCGGTCCACGTCGGCAGCCAGCCCACACGGCCCGGTGGCCTCCCTGGGCCCGGCCTGCGGACTTCCCCGTAGAGCCAGCCGTCCTCCTCGGTCCCAGGCTTGCCGACGTACAGCACGCAGACCCTCTCGCCCCGCCAGATCACGAGGTGGCCGTTGTGCGCGTGCCCGTTGCACTCGGGGTCGTCCAGGTACTCCAGGTAGTCGCACATGACCGGCACCTCTGCGCCAACCTCCAGGCCCAGCGGCGGCTCGTCCGCGTCCGCGTCGCTGGAGATATCGAAGAGCTGCACGGCGCCGTGGTCGGTGGCAGCCGCCCGCGGCGCCCTGGCCGAGCCCCGCGGCGCTGGCCTCGCGGGCGGCCCCGTGGCGGGAGCGCCCGCGGAGGCCTCGCCCCTGGCGCCCGCGGCGTCGCCGGGGCACTCCGAGGAGCGGAACAGGCTCCTTTGCCAGGACGCCGCCTGCGGCCTCTCCTCGGCGAGCCCCGCGGCCCAGGGGTCTGGGCTGCACCACCAGCTGTCCTCGTCGCCGGCCGCCGCTCTGGCGGCCGCGCGCGGCGCCAGCGGCTGCAGCGGGGCCCTCTCCGCGCCCGCAGTCGGCCCGCCCTGGCCACCGCCAGGCCGCCGCCTCTCCAGTGGGGCCCGCCGCCGCGGCGCCTGCGGCGCATCGGCAGCCTCGGAGCTCGGGGCGGCCGCCTCCTCCGCAGGCTGCATGAACCTCTCCACACGCTGGGTGTGCTGGGCCTTCCCGATGTGCCCTGCGGTGGCGAACTTCTTGCACGCCAGGCAATACAGGGCGGACTCCCTCACCTCAAACCAGGGCTCCTTGGCGAGCTCAAGCACCTCAGCACTTGGGGCGGCCTCTGGCGCCACGTCCAGGGCGGGCCCCTCCGCGTCCAAGGGCGGCGGCACGGTCACGTCGTCCGGGTCGGCGCGGTCCAACTCCTCGCCGGGGGGCGGCTTCAGCTGCTCGCAGTGCTTGTAGTGCTTGCTCTTCCCGATGTCTGCCCAGGCGTGCCCGAAGTGGCGGCCCTGGCACTTCAGGCAGCAGAACGGCCCCGTCAGGCCCTCGACGCCAGCGGGAGCGCCGTGCACCAGGTAGGGGCACCCCGCCGCCGCGCACAGCTGCTGGCAGGCCAGCAAGGCAGCCCTCTCGCCGCTCATCGCGGGCCCGCCCCCGGGGGCGCCGAGGAGACGGAGGAGGCGAAGGGAGAGGGAGGGAGAAGGGCAGAAGGGCAGAAGGGGAGGTGAGGGAGGGAGGGAGGGAAGGGAGGGAGGGGAGGGAGGGAGAAGGGCAGTGGGAGAGGTGATTGAGGGAAGGAGAAAGGGGAGGGAGGGAGAGGAGGAAGGGAGGGGAGGCACCGGCCCCGATGAGGCTTGAGCCAAAGGCTACGGCACGCACATAAGCATTCTCTCTCACACACGCACACACACACGGCGACTGCACATACCTTACACACTTCATGCCTGTCACTGTTGGAAGCGGCTGGGGGGACATGAAGTCGAATTGAAAGTAGTCGTGAATTCGAGATTGCCGCAAACGTTCGAACGCACCAACAGATAGGAGGCAGCCCACTCCTAGTCGAGTGCCAGCCCAGGGACAGCGTGACTATTCATGCGAAGTGAAGCAGTTAGAGCGCGAGACGGAGCAATGACACACCCACACACACACACACACACTCACACACACACACATGCACGTGCACAGCGCAACGACACAGCCAGGCTATACACCAGACCGCCCACATATTCCTCCGACGCCGTGGTGAATGAGGCACTCGCGAGATCTACGCAAATGGGGCAAATCCAATGTGAATGGCAACGCAGCTCAGTTCACGGCGGCTGGAACAGTCGTGCGATCCCAGGTGAGGGGAGGCTTGCACCGCCAAGATGCAAGTGAGTGCACGGCGCGGGATCAAACAGGAGAAAGCGTGAAAGTGAAACAAGGAGGGGAAGGACCAAGGGGCGCTGAGCAGGCGAGGCGGGGCCACAACACGACACATTCGGCCAACACGCGGCGCATCCGGGTGGCGATCTGGGAGAACAACGCGGAGAGATGAGGGGACGGAAACGGAGGAGGCACTGCTTCGTTTTTGCTCGGCGAGTCCGTCGCACTAGACGCGGGTGACTAATTAGCACAGCCACTGCCACACCACACCACCACACACACACACACACACACACACACACACACACACGCACGCACGCACGCACGCACGCACGCACGCACACACACACACACACACACACACACACACACACACACACACTGTTTGGCGATACACACACACACACACACACACACACACTTTTTGGCGATCACGGCCTCGCACGCAGCGACGAGGCGGAGATAGTCGGTCAGAGAGCGAACAAAGAGTGCGCGCGCAGCCAGGCCCTCAGAATAGACGAGCGCGTTTCACTACTCGCCAAGTAACTACTCGCAAATGGCCTGGATCCGCCGCGGGGGATCTACGATCTCTTACGTGGAGGCGAACCTTTGTGAGTAGTGGAGCGCGCTCGGTGACAGAAGATGGGGCAGGGATCCACAAGGATCGGCCATGCCACGCGGATACGCGGGCGAGGGCAGTGAAGGTGGAGGAACAAACAGCAGCGAACGTAGGGTGGAAATCGAGGTGGAGTGCAGCCGAACTGGCAGTGGCGAGAGGACAAGGGACGAGGACAAGATGTCAGGGACAGGCGGCACATCAAAGCGACAGCACCACACTGGGGAAGCAGTGCCGAGGGCAAGCGGGCTGAACGGCCAGCAGCACGCAGAGAGCGCCCTCCACACCCACCCACACACACACACACACAAACACACACACACACACACACTTTTACTCGTCAGGCGCTCGCGCGCGCGCGGCGTCGCGCCGGAGAAGTCTGGCAGGCAAGTAGGTTTGATCGAAGTGACGGCGTGAGTTTAAAAGCAACCGCCGAATTCAGTGAAGGACCAAACGAGCCAACGGCACAGACAAGGGCAGAGAGGGCCAAGGAAAGCGCAGAGCCACGCACGCACACACACACACACACTTACTCCTCGAGCCTTCTGAGAAGGCCCGCTCCTTCTCACTTCCCCCCCGGGCTCGCCGCCGAACCACACCCGAGTCGCCAGGACCAGACCCAAGGCGGAGGCGAGGCGGGCGGTTGGAATCACTCACGGGGTGGCGCCTGCGCGAGCCACTCGTCGTAGGCCACACGGAGAGCATCGTGGACCTGTCCCACTGTGGGAACGCCTGGCGGGGATGGCCTGTACTCACCGAGGGGCGCGATGGTGGCCCCTGGCGGGTGTCACTGCCATCGTCAGTCCCGTCGTCCGGAGCCAAAGGGTCGTCGTCGGTGTGATACCCGTTGACGCCGTCGAAACTGAAGAGGCCGTCCCTGCCGCCAGAAGTTGGAGAATGGCCGCTCCCCGAGTCGTCGCCCGAGGAGCCCCCGGGGTCAGCCGAGGCGTCGCCCGAGTCCTTCGGGGCGTTGGACTGTAGCGGGGGGCTGGGCCCCAGTGCACCATCGCGAGACCCAGCGGGCGCGGTCGGGATGTGGGCCGGGGGCGGAGGGCGGATCCACGAGGCGGCTCCAATGCTCTCCTCGCAAGAGTTGAACAGGCCTGCGGCGTCCAGGGCCTCCCCGAAGCAAGCCGTCGGATCCACAGCCTGGAGCCCAGGCAGGACAACCTGGCCCACCCTGCGCGGGATGGTGCGGCAGTGGGAGCAGGCCAACCTGGCCAGGTCTGGCTGCGGCCTGAGGTCCAGGAGCAAAGCCTGAGCTCCGCAGGCGCACTGGGCCCGCAGGTGCGGCCGCAGGATGTCGGGAGGCGGGGTGCAGGCCTGGGCGTGAAGCTGGAGGCCCGTGCGCGGGCAAAGGCCCGCAGGGTACCTGCTCGGGGCAGGGAACGGCTGGAGGCTCGCCCACTCCAGCCGGGGCGGGGAGAAGATTGCACCCGCTCATGGCTGGGAAACGGCGAGCGCAATTGGGACACGCCTCAAAGCGACGTGAAGGAGCTGAGTCGGGCACCGACCACGGGCTGCACACAGGGCATTTGAGGATGAGCTGGACCAGCGAACGATCGTCGGGATCAACGGCCCGGGGAGAGACCTCCGCCGGCGAGCTGAAGGCCTCTGGCGCCAACGGCGAGCGAGTGAAAGCAGAGAGCTGGCTGAAGGGATCGGCCACCGCAGGGACGTGAGTGCCCCCACGCTGCACGTGGCAGCCGACGACCAAGGCTGGAGCGGTCCCGCACTGAACGGCTGGCTCGAATGCCGAGAGAGGAGCTGCACCGAGGTGGCCGCCCCCGCGGAGGTAGTCGAGAAGGCCATGGGCTGCAACGACGGGACGCGACGGTCCGCGGCCAGGCGGGGCTGCCCACGGCCAACCGTGGCACTGGTGGCAACCAGAGCCGTCGTGGCTGCAGTACCCGCAGAGGGGCTGGCCGGCCCTTACCAGAGAGGCACTCGGAGGTGGCACAGCCGGACACACGAGCCAAGTAGATGTGCCGCAGACGATGCACGGGCGCCACGCGTTGGCACGGTCCTTGGTCAGTGCTGTGCCTGCAGGGAGGACCGGCCACGGGAGGGGAGGCCGCTGGGAACGCATCCGCACCATGCGCGCGAAGACTGGCCCGTCTCGGGAAAGAGTTGGATGGTAAAGTCACATGCCCACGCACACACACACACACACATATGCGCGCACACACACACACACACACACACACACACGCAAGCACGCGCAGACACACGCACACACACACACACACACACACACACACACACACATACGCGCACACACACACACACACACACACACACACACACACACGCACACACACACACACATACGCGCACACACACAGACACACACGCGTTGAAACTCATTTCAAAGCCCACCATCAAAACCGGCCTCCTCCCTCCCCCTGTTCTTGCCCTCTTTCCCACGACCCCCCCACCCCCCGCCGTCCCCCCGGTCGCTCCCGCATATCCCCCGCCCGACTCCTCCCCACCTATCTCATCCCTTCCACTCTCTTTTCCCGTCCCTCCCCATCCACCCCCTCCCCAGCTGGACCCCCAAAAAAACAGAAAAGCTGTAGAATCCCCGCGTTCAAAACCCTTGTCCTCCGTCACGTCCTCCTGCTCAGACATTTTCCAAAACCTTCAACAAATCGTCCCGAAACTGAGAAATCCGCCGACCCTGTCGGCGTGTGTGAGGGGCTTCTCCGTTCGAGCCGTCGTCGCCGTCATTCGTTAATCGTCGTCTCTGTCGCCCTCTTTCCTTGCGCTCTCCTTTCCCTGTCCCCGTCGCCGCTCCCCCCATCCTTGCCTGGACCCTCCTCCTCAAGCGCGCCAGGCAAAGCGAAATCGAGCAACGCCGTAATAAACTCGAAGGGAGGCCCCTTCCGTTTGATCCCTTTCTGCCGGGAGGGGGGGGGGGGTCCCGCGTCTGGTTCCGGGGGGGTCCCGTGGGGAGACCCTGGGGGGTCCCAGGTGGGGTCCCGGGTCAGATACCACTCCCCCCCGGGGTGTCCTGGAGCCCAAGAAGCCCAAGACGAGCCAAGAGTGCCTTAAGAGGCTCCCTAGACGGTCAAAGAGGGCTTCAAATCGGCGAACGATCTGTCCAAGACGCCTTCACGGCCTCCAGACAGCCCACGAGTCCTGTAAGACCCCACGAGGGACCAAAAAGGAAAACTCATCGCTTCCCCATAAGTTGTTGAAGCATTTTGGCGTTCTCGCCTCTTCCCCTTCCCGACGCTCCAAGACGGCTCAAGAGGCCTCGCATCGCTCCAAGACGGTCGACCGAAGACGGCCCAACAGGCCGCCCAGACGGCTCCAAGAGCGTGCCCAGATGAAGGACCAGAACAGACACTTCGAGCCCTCGGCCCCAAGAAGCTCCTCCTCCTCCTCCTCCTCCTCCTCCTGCTCCTCCTGGTCCTCGTCGTCGTCGTCTTCAGGGTCGGCGGCACCGGCCGTAAGGCCTTCTCAATCTGAGGAAAACCTTTGAAGACCTCCTCCTCCTCACTCCACCTCCTCCACCTCCTCCGCCTCCTTCTCCTCCTGCTCCTCCTCGTGCTCCTCCTCCTCCTCCTCTTCCTCCTCCTCCTCCTCCGCCTCCTCGTCCTTGTTCATAATCATCCTCATCCTCATCCTCATCCTCATCCTCATCCTCATCCTCATCATCCTCATCCTCATCATCCTCCTCATCATCATCATCATCATCATCATCATCATCATCATCGTCCTCATCCTCATCATCATCATCATCATCATCATCATCATCATCATCATCATCATCATCATCATCATCATCACCATCAGCATCATCATCAGCATCAGCATCATCATCATCATCATCATCATCATCATCGTCATCATCATCAGCATCAGCATCAACATCATCATCATCATCATCATCATCATCATCATCAGCAGCATCATCATAAGCATCAGCATCATCGTTCTCATCAGCATCATCCTCATCAGCATCATCATCAGCATCAACCTATCATCAGCATTGTCATCATCAGCATCCTCTTCATCATCATCGTCGACGTCATCAGCAGCAGCATCGTCCTCCTCCTGGTAAGCATCATCCTCATCATCATCATCATCAGCATCATCAGCATCAACCTATCACCGTCAGCACCAACATCCGCATCCTCATCAGCAGCATGTTCGTTATCATCATCATCATCATCATCATCATCATCATCATCACCATCATCATCATCATCATCAGCGGCAGCAGCAGCATCGTCATCATTGGCATCATCATCGGCATCAGCATCATCCTCATCCTCATCATGATCATCATCAGCATCAGCATCATCATCAGCGGCATCATCATCATTCTCAGCATCAGCATCAGCATCAGCAGCATCAGCATCAGCAGCAGCATCGTCATCAGCAGCATCATCATCAGCATCATCACCATCAGTATCATCGTCAGCATCATCAGCAGCATCGTTTTTATCATCAGCATTATCAGCATCAGCATCGTCATCAGAATCGCGGTCATCAGCATGATCCTCGTCGACAGCAGCATCATCATCACACTCGGCAGCATCAGAGTCATCAGCATCGTCGTCAGCATCATCATCAGCATCGCTATCATCATCATCAGCAGCATCACATTCAGCATCATCATCAGCATCAGCATCAGCATCATCAGCATCAGCCTCATCATCATCCTCATCATCATCGTCCCCCTCGCGGTCGTCTCCCTCCCCCTCCTACCCGACCCCCTCATCGTCCGCCTCCTCCTCCTCCGTGTAAGAATCAGCATCAGTATCGTTAGCAGCAGCATCCTCATAATCAGCAGCATTATCATCAGCAGCAGCACCGTAATCAACATCGTCATCATCATCACAATCATAGTATCACCAGCAGCAGCTCTCATCAATATCATCAACATCACCACCGCATCTTTAGCAGCATCAGTATCAGCATCATTATGGACATCATCATCATCAGCAGCATCATCATCAGCAGCAGCGTCATCACCATCATCAGTATGATCGACATCATCATCATCAGCAGTATCATCAGCATCACCAGCATCAGAAGCATCATCATCAGCAGCAAAATCAGCATCAGTTGCATCAGCATTCTCCTCATCCTCATCCTCCTCATCATCATCATCATCATCAGCATCATCATCATAATCCTCATCCTCATCCTCATCCTCATCCTCATCCTCCTCCTCCTCCTCCTCCTCATCATCATCATCATCATCATCAGCATCATCAGCAGCATCATCATCATCATCAGCAGCAGCAGAATCGTTTCCCTCCACCTGCGACGATGACGACGACGACAACCACCACCCTGAGCTCCACGATTGGCCAGAAGCCGAGGCCCGCCAGGATGGTCGGCCAAAGGTCGGCGGAGATCTCCCCTCCCAGGCCCCGCGCGCCGCGAGCTTGCGCGCCCAGCTTCGAGCCGACTTCGCTCCCGACGACGACGACGATGACGACGACGACGACGACGACGACGACGACGACGACGACGACGACGACGTCGAGGACGACGGCGGCATCGGCGGCGGCGGTTGCGGCGGCGGTGGCGGCGGCGGTGGCGACGGCGGCGGCGACGGCGACGACGACGACGACGACGGCAACGGAAACGGCGAAGGTGAAGGCGATGGCGGGAGAGGAGGGGGACAGAGGAGGACGACGAGGGGGGGGGAGATGGAGGACGACGAGGACAAGAGTGAGGAGGCTGGGGAGGCAGGAGGAGGAGTAGAAGGAATAGGAGGAGGCGGAGGAGGAGGGAATGGCCTGAATATTCCCTGGCCGACGTAATGCGCATTGCATGGGTAAACACTTCAGAGCTCCAAAAATTATGTGACGCGCCTGCTCGCGCAGAATAGTCGGCCGGGCCCTTATGATCTGGAGATAAGTGTGTCCTGATCCTCGTTAGGTCCTCGTGACCCTTCCTGGAGATCGGAGTGATGCACTCGTGACCCTTCCTGGAAAAAACGGAGTGGTGTACTCATTATAGGGAGGCGCCCGGGGTCGACCGTTGCAGTCTCTTCCCGCGGGCCGTGCAAAAAGTGCAGCGAGCGCTTCGGCCATACGGGCAAAGTGCAACCAGAGTGAATGAAACTTGTGCCCCCCCCCCGAAACTTGTGCCCCCTCCTCCTCCTCCTCCTCCCCTCCTCCTCCTCCTCCTCCTCCTCCTCCTCCTCCTCCTCCTCCTACTCCTCCTCCTCCTCCTCCTCCTCCTCCTCCCTCCTCCTCCTCCTCCTCCTCCTCCTCCTCCTCCTCCTCCTCCTCCTCCTCCTCCTCCTCACTCCTCCCCCCTCCCTCCCTCCCTCCCTCCTCCCTCCTTGCCGCCCCCATGAAATCACCGTCCCACTGGCCCGAACGATCCCCTCGCCCAGAATTTCAGGCGCAGAGCGCGCCACTGGCAGGCAGTGTTGCCCACAGCCTTCGACAGCAGGGGAGGCGGAACAAAAACAGTTCGCGCAGAGCACAACTCAACTTCTTGCCAGCTCGGACAAGGCAGAAACAGAGCTCGCCCGGACAGCCGCTTGGAGTGTGCTCCACGGCTGCCTGACTTAGGCCTCTCCGCGGACCGACGGGGAGGAGGGGGAAGAGGGGGAGGAAGGGAGCGGGTGAGCAGGGGGGACGGCAGAGAGAGGAGGGCGAGGATGAGCAGAGAACGGCCCAAGAGAGCCCCACGATGCGCCCCCAAGACCGCCCCAAGAATCCCCGGAGGGGCCAAGGGCGGTGGCCCAAAACGATGCCAAGACAGCCACAGAGAGCCCCAAGAGGGCCGCAAGAGGGCCGCACAGATCCCCAGACAGCTCCCAGACGGCCGGGGTAGCCCGCATGAGAACTCCTGCAGGAATAGAGACGAGAGGTGACACATCTTATGGCCTTCTATGCAATGCCCAAAGCGTCGCCAAACAGAGTGCTGCGCTGGCACGGTGGCGGGAGTTGCCGCAGGCAGCTGCATATTCTAGGACCCATTGCGCCAACGATCACCAACGCTGCCTGAGCTGAAAGACTTGGAGTCATTTGAAGGAATTGCTGAGGCAACTCCAGATGATCACGGTGACCTACTTGTGCATGCTCACAATCTCGAGGTGGCTGAAACGACTGGGGACCATTTGCGGGTGGCTGGTAAAGGGCTCGTAACTCGAGTGGGCGACGAGCAGTCTCGCCCTGGCGCAGGCGAAGCGGTGGCCTGTTGCGTTTGAACAGAATGTCCTGGCTGCCGGTGGGTGTATCGCTGACAGGCTTCCGATGAAGGGACCCCCTCCTCAGGAAGAGGAGGCCAGGTCTGGGCAGCAGAGGGCCAGCCCTCCTGTCTGAATGATGGAAACTGCCAGCCTCCCCACTGAGAGGAATAGGACTTACCATGCAGAGCACCAGCCCAGGAGGGTGAGGGGCAACAATAGGGAGGGACTGGCATAGGGGGGGATGCATCGACCTCGAATCGGCGATACATCGCCCATACATCGGCGATAGGACCCCGATAGTGAATCCGCACCTTCCTGTGCAGGTTGGGGCTATCGCGCTCCTCTTGGCGATTAATAGGCGATTCCGCCATATGCCTATCCCCCCGATCCTTGCCCCCGAGAGGGGAGGGAGGACGAGGAGGGAGGACGAGGAGGAGGAGGACAAGCAGCCTGCTTTCGCTGGCGCGCCCCCTCCCGAAGGCCGTGCTTGCTTGGGGGGTGGACACGGGGGAGCAGCTCGAGCAGAAACTGGTAAAGCATTACTTATACACTCCTCCTCATCACCATCCTTCTTCTTATTATTATTATTCCTCTTCTTCTTCGTCTTCTTGTTATTATTATTCCCCTCTCATCTTTCTCCTCCTCTCCCTCCGCCTCCCTCCTCCTCGTCCTCATCATCACCATCATCATCAGCATCAGCATCATCATCCACCACATCAACAACCTCATCATGGTCATGATCAGCATCATCAATATCATCATCATCATCATCATCATCATCATCATCATCATCATCATCATCGTCATCATCATCATAATCATCATCATATTCATCATCATACCCATCAGCATCAGCATCATCAGCAGCATAATCATCATCATCGCCATCATCCTACTCGTTATCAGCAGCCGCATCATCACACTTGTCCACCTTATCAGCATTATCATCATAATATCCAGTATCACCATCATCAGCCCAATCATCATCATCAGCAGCAGCATCATCAGAGTCATCAGCATCACCATCATCAGCATCATCATCATCACCATCATCCTCGTACTCATCAACAACATCCGCATCACCATCACCATCATCAGCAGCATAATCATCATCACCATCATCATCTTCAGCAGCATCATCATCATCATCATCATCAACATCCGCATCACCATCATCAGCAACAGCATCATCGTAATCAGCATCAGCATCGTCATCATCACCATCGTAATCATCATGATGATCGTTATCATCATCAACAGCAGCATCACCAGTATCGCCATTATCCTCACCATCATCACATTCATCCTCAGATCCATCATCAGCATGACCAGCATCATCATCAGCATCATCATCACCATCATCCTCATAAGCATTATCAGCAGCAGCATCATCACATTCATCCACATCATCAGCATCATCACCATAATCTCCAGTACCACCATCATCATCACAATCAGCACCAGCATCAACATCGTCATATTCATTATCAGCATGATCAACATCCGCATTGCCATCACCATCAGCAGCATCATCAGCATCACCATCATCGTCTTCAGCAACATCAGCATCATCAACATCCGCATCATAATCATCAGCAACATATTCATCAGAATCAGCATCATCACCACCAGCATCATCATCGTCATCATCAGCATGATCATCGTCATCATCCGCAGCATCATCAGCATCATCAGCATCATCAGCATCATCATCATCATCATCATCATCATCATCATAGTCAGCAGCAGCAGCACCTTCCTCTCCCAGGCCCACTGCGTCTCGGCAGGCGTTAACACTCTATCGCCCTTCGCGCCTTGCGGCGCAGCATCGGAACCGAGAGCTCGCCGTTGCACCACAAGCTAGCCGCAAAGAAGACCTCGCAGGCGGGGGCTGAAGCGGGCAAACCCGGCGCAGGCGAGGAGAGCGACAAGGGTAAGCAGCAGCAGCATTGGCAAAGCCTCCGTACTGCTACTGCTGCCGAAGGCACACTGCCGACGAGAGGTGTCCGGTTTTTTGCGCGCTTCCCTCCCTTGCAGCAGTGCGCGGACGAGGCGCCCGCGAGAGGACATTCCAGGGCAACTGTGAGGAGTGCTCTCGCTTCCTCCTCCTCCTCCTCCTCCTCCTCCTCCTCCTCCTCCTCCTCCTCCTCCATCTTCTCCATCCTATTCCATCCTCTTTCTCCTCCTCCTCCTCATCTTCCTCCTTCTCCTCCTCCTCTCCCTCCTCCTCCTCTTCCTCCTCCACCTCCTCCTCCTCCTCCACCTCCTCCTCCTCCCCCGCCTCCCTCTCCTCCCCCTCTTCCCCTATCCTCCTCCCCCTCCTCCCCCTCCTCCCCTCAAGCCGTATGGGCGCGAGCACCAAGTCCTTGCGTCCCCGCACGCAGAGCAGGTTCTTGGCCCGTCCCTACCTTCCTCGAGGTGCTTGAGGGGCCCGTGCGCTGTGCTGCCCGCACGGTGGCTAAAGGGGACTCTTGATTTCTCTCACGAGCAGAAGAGGCAAAGGCGGCTCAGTTGTTGGCAAGGGGCGCAGGTTGTGGACCAAGTGCCCAAGCTGCGAAACATGCGAGTGCAATGAAGTTAGTTCAGAGGAAGCAGTACTGCGTGTGCGGTCAGTGGTTTCAGCTTCATCAGGATGGCAAGTCCGAGAAGAAGAGCAATTCGCAGTATGGTGACAAAATCCTCGCGTTGTCCGACGGCAGCCAGTCAGCTGTGCCGAGTCTGGGAGGCGGTACACCCGCGACACCGTCGTCGACGCTTGAAACCTTAGAGGCGGCCGCTCGCATGACAGATGGCATCACTTTGAAGGCAGCGTTGCAAGCTCAGGTCGATCGCTTGCGTGCTGAACTTCCAGCAGCCAGTCAGACCAGCCCAAACGAAGCGGTCAAGAGGGCCGCAGGCGCAGTCAAGGATACGACTTGGAAACATGACCAATCGGCGCAGGCCGTGTCGACCTGCGCCAGCACCAAGGCCATTTCACGTTCGTGTTCTTCAGGCCGTGTTGGGCTGAAGAACACGAACTTGAGATGGCCTTGGCGCTGGCGCAGGCCGAACAGCAGCGGCGCCTGGCGGCAGAGGCGCTCGCCGACAGCATGGGCATATGCACTGAAGCTCCTGCTGCCAAGGAAGGGTTCTTCGAGCTCAACTTCGACGAGACCTGTTTCTTGAATGTTGACAGCATCGAGGGCATCACTGAGGAGGAAGCCAAGGAGCTTCGTCTCATCGAGAAGGAGCTTCGCGCAGTCAAGGAACAAGTCGAGGTCAAGGGCTCCGACGTGCAAAGTGGCTCGAGAAGAAGCAGGCCCTTCAGAAGCAGCTGCAGGATCGTCTTCAGAAGAAGCGCCGCGCGGAGGACAGCACCTCCGCGGCGCGGCGGCCGCGCCATCAGCAGGGTCCGCCAGCGCAGCGTCCGCAGCGGGCGCCCCAGCCGACGGCGACTTACAGGCCGAGGCGGCGCGCATCAGCGAGGCTGGGGCCAAGGCGGCGGAGAAGGCGGCACGCGCAGCAGCAGCGAGCAGAGGGGCGGGTGCCCCACCCGTCGCCTGAGGACAGGCGGGCGGCAGAGCGCCTCCATCGGCGAGGCGGCAGTCCTCGTGGAGGCGACGGCGGCCTGGGCCCGCTCGCAGGCACGGCCGTTGCGACCATGGGTCTCGTGCACGCCTGGACCCCGCAGCCGTCTTCACTCTGCCAGGCGCTCAAGGGACTGCTGTTGCGGCGGTTGGACTGCAGCCAGAGCTGGATTCGGCTGAGTTGGCAGGTGCGAAGGGCAGTGCTGTGCGGTCGGCCACGGCACATCACGATCAATCTGATCCAGTGCATGGCGTCTGGCCAGCTCTACGAGTACGGCATCGGCTTCTACTCCTTCAGTCGCACCGGCTGCGTCTCGAGTCTCTCGCGATGATTCGGGCGGGCAGCAAGCCGACAGTGAAGGCAGCGAGGGCAGTGATGGCGTTGTCATTCTTTTTTGCAATAACATTACCCAGCTTGGGCCCCAAGCTTCCAGTATTTTCCGTCAGAATATTGCGCGTTCTCAGGTCCGGGGCCTCGTGGAGACCCACATCGACGAGGCCAACATTCCCAAATGGACCAAGGAATTTCGCGCTCTCTCGCATCGATGCGTTTTTACCGTGCTCGGCCGTCGGGGAAAGAATCGCCCGCGGCCCAGTCCGCCCGCGCGAACGGGGGCGAGGGGGGGGGGGGGGGGGGGCTTTTTTCGTCGAAGGTCACGGGCAGGCGGTCTTGGCAGGTTCGGCTCAGTCCCTTCCCGATCTCGCTCTCCCCTCCTGCCCCGCCCTTGGACGGCCCCCCCCCAATCATTGTGCGTGCGCAAGGCTATTCCATTGTCCTCATTCTGTTCTACGGGCTGCGTTCACAAGGATTTACAGGGGGCAATGCAAGGCGTCTCACCAGGCTAAGAGCGCACGCCACCTATTCGGCCCCGCCTTGGATCATCTTGGGCGACATGGGCCCAGCGGAAATCAAGAAGGGAAGGCTAGGGTTCTAGAGCGCCTTGATGCTGTGACAGTCACAGCTGACATCGAGGCCGCATACGTCACGGGCGCGGGCAGCAATCACGTCGATTATTTGGTCGATAATAATTCGGCACGCACGTATTTGAGAGCAATTGTTGACAAGCATGACGCGCCATGGGGCACGCATTACGAACTCATTATATCCCTGGCAGGTTCGGGGCGCCAACTCATCGCACGTAGTTTGTCGATCGCCAGCAAGCTCCCGCAAGTCAAGCGCCCAGGCGCTCTCCCTCAGCCAGGGAGCCGTTCGAGTCAGCCCAAGTTGGAGCGTCAGCATGCGCGCGAGAAGGCCATTATTGCCTTCAGATCCGCATGCGACGCTTCTTTTTCTGTGATTTGCTAGGCCCGCAGCAGAGGGAAGGAGGCGCTGCGGCTCCTTCCCCCTATACACAGCAAGATGAAGATCACATTGGGGCTCAGCAGAATGAACAGTCGAATTCACGGACCCCCAGCCCCTGAAGCGTGGAACCCCCTGCGGAGGCTAACCGAGCTGCGCCCAGTGTTGACAGTGTGTCCATTTGTCTTCCTGTCTCCACATGGTGTTACCATTCGCCTCAAGTCGGCTTTCGCGCTCAAACTCGGGATGACGTGGCGCAATTCATTCGAGATTCGCACACATTTGCCGTTGGGGGGCCTTTTACTTTGGAGATCGGCGGGCTTTTCGCAACATGGGCGCAGGCAGCAGGACGCAGTATTTCGGCACATCATTCGGCTGAGCCCTGCGATCATCATTTTCGCGATCGGTCTCGCGCTTTAGGACCAGAGCTGCAGCAACAGTCAGTCCAGCAAGCGCAAAAGTATCGCGAGCTCCCGCGACCGACCGAGTGGCTACATAGTGGGCACGAGTGCACGTTGTTACCCACAGGCTCCTTCGGCGCAGACAGCGGCACAGTGGGGCCCAGCAAATCGATGCTCTCATTCAAACTGGCAGGGATCTTGCGAGGGATGCCCCAGAGCAGGCCCAGCAGGTCCTCCAGCAGGCCCGCCGAGAGCCCACTTTCGAGGCTTGGGCTCATCATCTGGGGAATCTGGGCAGTCTTGGGGACGGCTTCTTGGATGAGATCGCCGAGTGGGCTGAGCTCATATCCAGGCGAGCCCAGAGGCGCGCTTAGGCAGTCACTTCATTGGTTTCAAGCCCGGAACGTCGACGACACCAAGCACGGCCAGGTCTTCCGCAGTTTACGAGCAGAGCCCATAGCCAGCGATGAACAGCACTATTGTGGGCAAGCAGTTTTTCATCCGAAGGATGCGACCGACGCCAAAGCCGAGAAATGTCATCAGCTTTGGGCCGACCAGCCAGTTTCTCAGGACCATGTTTTGGAAGTCTTCGGGGAAATCAGAGATGCGGTTTCCTCCGAGAATCTTCCTGGGTTAACTGTTCAGGACCCCGCGGGTTCCGCAAGAAGATGCCACCTTCGGCTGGCCTTGGCATCGATCAGTTTACCCCGCTCGACTTCGAGCGGCTGCCCGATATCGCGCCCCAGTCTTTTTGCAGTGTGCACACAGCTTGTGAGCAGGCGCTCACATGGCCGCGGCAGCTTCTGGCGGCACTGGGGAGGCCATTGGCGAAGAAGCCGGGAGGGGACAGGGTGATTGGTCTGATATGCATGGTTTGCGGCGCATTGTCGAATGCCCGTGACGGCATTTCTAAGCAGTTGCCACGGCAGACTACACCAGCTTGGGATGCGGCAGTATCGGGCAACTCGGTTCTGCGGGAAGCCTTCCGCAGGAATCTAGACGCCGAAGTTTGCAAACGTCTAGATATTTCAGTCATGCAAGCCGTTTTAGACATCAAAGGAGTTTACGATCCTATTAGATGGGACATGTTGGTTAACACGGCACTGCGGTTAGGCTTCCCGGCGGTCATCTTGGAATTAGAGTTGCAACAATGCATGGCGCCTCGTATTTTGAGCCAGAATGGAGCCAACAGCAAAGCGTTCCAGCCAGCCAAATCGATCGCCCAGGGCCTTCACAATGGAACTCGTTTCGCTAGATGTTTAGCTTACTGCAGTTTGTAGCTACTCAAACGATTTCGAGTGATGTTTTGATGCTACAAGTCTTAGGGACTTCGAAGTCAGTGGCCAAGTCGACGGTCGATGTCATTCAGACTGCACCAGACGAGATGCAGGCTTACAGTTTCCAGCTTGCCGACAAAAGTGCAATCGGCCGCCGAGCAGATCGCTTCTCGCCCGAAGCGTCGCGGAGTCAAGATCACGGCGGCCCCTCAGGCCCCGCACCTGGGCATCGACCTCGGAGGAGGGAGACAGGCGAGGACGGCCAGGCGGCAGAGGGCAGTCGAGGAAATGACGCAGCATCGCAAGCTCAAGGGCTACGCCATAGCGGCGCGTAGGTATTTGATCACCAAGAAGATTGAGCTGGCGGGACCGCAGGCTCGTTCTAATTACGGGATGGAGATTTATGCAGTTTTTGGGGAGCAGCTTCAGAGATTACGAAAACGGGCGGGCGCAGTCTCGGGCTCGGGTAAGAGAGTGAAGTGCCCCACGAACTTGCTGGAGATTCACACGCCTACGCGGGGCCCAGGCATCGCGCCCCCCACAGCTTGCATTCGCACATGGCTTGATTGTTGGATTCACTTGCCTTCTTCTCACGCTGGAATGTTCAGTGCGGCAAGCTGTTCGTAGGGATATTGAAACTTTACCCCCTTGATAGAAGATCTAAACATATTCGAAGCCCTTTGTCGGCCGCGATAACTCATCTACTGGGAGTCGGATGGACTCCTGCGGCACCGAATGATTGCAGAGGGCCGAGTGGTCATGTGATGTCTGGGGGTGTTTATCGTTGTCAGTGGACGTTTCCAGCAGATGAGGCCAGGGGTTTACTCGAGGATTTCCAGGAGACCTTACAGCTTCAGCAGAGGACAGCAACCGAATCTCATTTCTGCGGGTCTGGTATTACGGGGGGCGTGGACAACCTTTCGCTTCGCGCCCTGATGCGGCAGCTCGAAGGAGCTAAGCACGGCAGATCGCTCGCTGAAACTCCCATGTGTATCGCAACGAGAGGTTATTGGTTGCAGGGGATACGTCGCCTCGAATGCCTGCCCCAGATGCAGGATCGAAGGAAGGGAGGGCACCCCAGAAACCCCAACACCTCGTCATTGGCTGTGCCCCAGCAATTCTTCCCATTCAGCGTTCAGTGAATCGGACGCCTTAGTTCCGAAAGCTTCGGCGCAGGGACCTACAGAGGCATGTTTCTGACATCGAGGGTTACTGCCAGCTGCATGGATTCAGGTCACTTTTCCGCCGGCAGAGGAATGCTGGCGCTCCGCAGATCTTTGCACGGAGCAACTGACTGCAGGCGCCCTGGGAAAGGGCACGCCCGAGGCACCCCTTTTATGCATTTGGCGATGCTTCTGCTGGGAAGGAGGGAGGGAAAGATAGGCTACGGAGAATTGGGTTCGCTGTGTGCGCCGCTACTTCTGTCACGCGTTGTGTTCTCGGCCCCATCGTTTAAGTCTGTTCCACGGGGGGGAGTTGGTTGCTTTGGGGGGGTCGATCAGGTCGTCCGAGGGAGATCTGGTTTACGTTACGGATAACGACGAGGTTTCCAGGGGGTGGGGTTCCAGAAACTGTGATCATCCCTATGGAGAGCCCGGTGGCATATGGAAATCGATCGGTCAGCTGTTGAAGACTCGCAGCGGTTCCGCGGTGGTATTGGAAGTTGCGTCACATGCCAATGTCCTTGACGGTTGTCCGCGCTTCCCCTACTGGATGATTGCAAGTAACGAGGCGGCCGACGCTATTGCAGGAGAGACAGCACCCCTTGCCAGGGCTTCGGAAGCCGAACTGTCGAAGGTGGCTGAGGCAGAACACACAGCGAGGTTGGTCCGTCGCAGGATCATGAGATCGACCTTGGCCGCAGTGGAAGCATCCAGTCGTCCGAGGAGGATGAAAAACATGTAACATTGATTACATGCGTGCTGTTGATGTTCCTCCGCCTCCCCACCCCTGCTGCTGCTGGTGTTGGATCAGAAAGGCTTGCAGTATACGCGATGTCGGTGCTCGGTCACAGCTTCAGCTAGGACATCCTGGCTGACTCCGCTTGCACTCTTCTGGAGGAGGTGTCGGTCGCGCGCTCAGGCCTCCGCAGGGTTTCAAGGTCCACAGTTTTCACAAGATGGCTTGTTCCCTGGATTCCAATGTTTGGATGTGCGGGGATTGTGGTTTTTTCGGTGAGCTCGTTTTGAGGGGGCTGGTGAAGCCATGTGATCCCGCCCGCATTTCCAGGAAGCGGCGTGGGTTCCTGGACCGTTTTACATGAGGGCGTCGGCCCAAAGCTTCGGCCATGGGCTAGTTTATATATGTGACTTCGTTATTGATCCCAAGTCCAA